TTTGCTTGTTTGTCTTTTATTGTTAGTATTCTCTTGATACATGATCTTGACTGGTAGTTTCGCAGCCGTTCTTAGRGGCGGGCTTCCTGGTGCGGGGGAGGGAGCCAGACTACTAGCAATCTCGCACATGGGTTTCCTTTGTAATTGAATTCCGCGCTCTGCCAAGTCTCTTGTGATTACGTGAACGAAGATGGCGTCCCGATTTATTTGTCTCGTAACTGGTGGTGCTTCAGGACTTGGTAGAGCAACAGCTCAAAGATTAGTTCGAAATGGAGCGAGAGTTGTCATTGCTGACCTTTCCTCTAGTGATGGCGAAAATGTTGCTAAAGAATATGGAGAAAATTGTACATTTTCACCAACTGACGTAAGCCAGGAAGCCGGGAAATTATTATATGTAATAGGACTCCATGCTGTCCAATTAAGAAATAATTGCACGAGGAAAATTCCGAGGACTGCCAAAAATTTGGCTGTCAGAGGAATTTTTCGAGTCTAATTATTTCTTAATTGGACAGCATGGAGTCTTATTACCTATTTAATTATATAGCCACATATTGATCCCAAATAGGTAAAAGCCAACCACAGCTTTTAACAAAAACTCAATTGAAAACCTGTCCAATTAATTTCTTAATTGGACAGAATTCCAAAATTAACGAAAAATCCAGCTTTTACCTATTTGGGATTAATATGTGGCTATATAATTATGCTGGAAATTTTTTTAAGTGACGTGTCTCCTTAATATTATCTAGATATTACTTTAATAGTTATGTTTTTTGTAATTTATGTTTTTGATGCGTCAAAAAATCAAACCATAGGGGGTGTAGGTCCCAAACCATACACCCCTCTTGGGTGGGTCTGTTACTCTTATGTCTTTAAGTTAAGTCTTAATACATTAACAAAACCAGTGCATGTCTGTCAATAATAAAGTAAGGTTATATTTTTTTAGGTTACATCTGAAAGTGATGTTATTAATGCTATAAAAGTGGCAAATGAAAAATATGGTCCTCTGACYGCAGCTGTGAACTGCGCAGGAATTGGCTGTGCTCATAAAACACTGTCAAGAACTGGTGAGGCACACCCTTTAGACCAGTTTGAAAAAGTTCTCAAGGTGAATTCCCTGTTTTTATTAGTGGTGCACTAGTGTCTGATAGTTTTATGATATTTGAATTTTTCCCAAAAATTGGTTGGGGAACTACAAGTATAACATGAAAAAATATGTAGGAAAAAAAATTGAAAAGTGCAGCTCCCAAACTTCCCATCCAGCCTTTTCTCATTCTTTTGTGCAAATGAACATTGATTCGCATTCTCAGATCTTACAGTTCATTAGTAATCAGTGTGCCAAAGTGGATAAAAAATTCCTCAGAACCATTATTTTAAATTGCACTATTTCAKCTTTTTTCAGCTCTCTATCAGCCAGTTTTTAATGTCATATAATCTGATCAAACAGTGCAAACTTGATTTTGTTCCCAATATTTAGAATGATAAAAGTGGTAGGAACAAATGTTAGAAAAGACTGGTTTATTTGTAAATTTTTCTTAGACACAATTACAACCTGATTTCTAACATGAAAGACTTGGTACAACTCCATTAACTTGCACAATGAATGATGAGATACGACTTACATAGAATGAAAAATCATAATGTAAATAAGGAACTCACAACTTTTGGTGTTAATCACATCAAATTGGCAGCTTTTAAAAATTTCTAAATTTTACAAAGAAATGGGAATTTAGAAAAATCCAGATGCAGCATTTGGCATTATATAGACTCCATTATATACATTTCTTGGGAACTTTTATTAGTATTTTTGAAAGGATGTAAATTTAATATTGCTCTGTTCGATGCCAAATTTGGACAGTACCGGCAAGTATTTCTCAATAAATTCTTTTGTTCTATATACTTAGTCTGTATAATTTAAGCTGTTGAGCCAGGAGCCCATTACTAGGAGCCTTCCTCTTCCCTTGGGCTTGTGGAACGGCATTTACCCCTCTTGATGCTATTTTTAGAATTTACCGTCTTTCCCCGCGCTTATTGAGATGCCAAGTTGTGAAGAGATGCCGGCTACACTGGCCGCCGTCAGATGGTTTTCGATTGAATTTTATATTTGTACAAGTGAAGAAATTTTCGCTTTTACAAAAACTATTTTGTAACAAAGGTTCAATGGCACCATTAACTATTATATTCAAATGTCTTAAGATAGTGAAAAGGTATAAAAAATAAGCGAAAAAGATCACAAGCTTACATGAAAGAATCGCCATTTCTGGTCTCTTTTTTACCGACGAATCTGATAAAAAAGCATGACAGTGAACACAAAATAATCTATTCTTATAGAGAGTTCTTCATCCAAAAAAATGTGACAGATGAATTTTGAATAGTCTAGTACTAAGATCTAATTATTCCTCAGAACTGCCGGTGGTCGAACGGCGGCCGGGCCGTCGATCATTCAGAAACCTATTGTTCAAGTCGCTTTCCGATTGGCTGTTTTGCGCTGAATTTATAATGAGCAATTCTAAAAATAGCACCAAGAGGGGTAAATGSRGTTCCAAGAGCTTATGAAGAAGAGGAAGGCTCCTAGTAATGGGCTCCTGGTTGAGCCAATTAAGGGAATTGTACCCAGTCTCCCACAGTATGAAATCCAGCAATGTTATAAACATAAGTAAATATCTTTCAGGTGAACACCATTGGTAGTTTTAATGTGATCCGTCTAGTAGCAGAGCAAATGGTAAAGAATGAACCAACAGAGGGTGGAGAAAGAGGAGTTATTATCAACACAGCTAGTGTGGCAGCATTCGAGGGACAAATGGGACAAGCGGCATATTCAGCATCCAAAGGTGGAATAGTTGGCATGACACTACCAATAGCAAGGGATTTGGCGCGGCATGGTATAAGAGTGAACACTATTGCACCAGGTGAGTTGCTGTTATTATTTAACTGCTTTCTCCAGGGAGAGGGACTCTGAACCACTTCATTATTCATAAATTAGTTGTATATAGCTATTTCAAAAAAGGTTGTTTAGATAAAATGTCGAATGTCAATAGTCAAACGGTGATTGCACGAGCTAAAGTAGTCATGGGTTTTGCTAGTTGAAAGACAATAAATAACTGATTTGTACTGTGAGATGGTCTGTGGTAAACATTGGCTCCATTTAGTCTCCATTTCTTTGTGGTGAATCCAATAAGTGAAATTTTGTTTATGAAAACAATGTCACCATAGTTCCTTTCGGTCGTACAATCTCTCTTCAACAATCGCCGTTATTATTAGTATGACAAAATAATAAAACCTTCTCATTTTCAGGGTTATTTTTAACACCACTTCTTCAAGCATTACCAGAAAAAGTCCAAGTAGCCTTGGCCAAGACCATTCCTTTCCCATGTCGTCTTGGAGATCCAGACGATTATGCACATTTGGTACAGAGTGTCATGGAGAATTCAATGATAAATGGTGAAACAATTAGGATTGATGGTGCACTCCGTATGCAGCCTTGACGTCATGCACACACCATCTAGTGCAACAGATGTCATAAAAATATGGGTTCAAATAATGGGGCAGGGAATTATGAAATATGAACACACAATTCAGCCATCCAGAAAGTTTACTTATCCAGACAGTGCAAGTATAATTAGCAATTATGCTGAARGTAATTCTGAACTTGTAATAAAATGAGGATTCTTTCAAGATGAGTTTTGAATATAATTATGCCTCTAGCAATATTATTGAAGGGTTCTCACTCAATGTCCAGGATTTGATAGTATCTGAGTCACTTTATTTAATTATGATAGTTATTGTAATGAAGTCAAGCCTGTTTACAATAAAACAGTCTTGTCCATTATATAAATGACTTTGATGCAGAATTCAAATTAAAAAATTGAGATATGTTTTATCAAGAGGAATACCAAATGATAATTAATAATAATAGTTATTATCATTTTACAAGTTCTTGTCTTGTATACATATTTGTAGTCTCCTTCGCATTCGTTTTCGTGTCGGGCTTTCGATTTTATGGGTATAGTAAATTGTTGCTATCTACCCAATCTTACTGCTCRGTCTATTCTTATCACTTCTCCATTTAACATTGTATTTTCAATAACTGCTTGGACAAGATGGGCAAATTCTTCAGGCTTTCCTGCTCTTTTGGGAAAAGGAACATCTTTTGTAARTTCTGCTCTTGAAACAGGATCAGGCCTTCCTTTGATAAACATGGGTGTTTCAAACAATCCTTGAAAAGAAAATTAAGTTATTTTTTTTGTGAAAATAGGTTGCTAGATTGGGATTGCAATGATCATAATGTAGTCCTAACGTACTCACCTGGTGCAATAGAAATGACCCTTATACCAAACTTTGCCAAGTCCCTAGCAAGTGGTAGTGTCATTGCATTGACTGCACCTTTGGTTGCAGAATATGCTACTTTACCTGACACGCCCTCGTATCCATGGATACTTGAAGTGTTAACAATGACACCTCTTTCTCCTTCCTTATTTGGAACGTTTTTGGTCATTGCTTGGGCAACAAGCCTTGCAACATTAAATGTTCCAATACCATTGATCTAGTATTAAACAAAAAAATACTTTTTTTGAATGGTGACCATGTTACCCAGCATAAATAGACCACTTAATAAAGTCCCACCATRGATTTTATATAATTGACAATATTATGGAAACATTCATCACTGTTATATGAGAGAACTACCAGAAATAGGCATTTGTATTCATTAAAGTGCATATGAAACGATTTTTTTTTATTTGAAAAATAGAGTCAATAGAACAAGCATAACAGGTTGGCTAATTACCACTTGATGCAGGGCTTCAAATTTCAGAGAAAATCGGAGTTAAAAATCCATTATGCTAATTTGATGACGTCAATGTGGTTTCTCTAAAACATTTCAACTGTGTTTTGTAACAAGTGTTCCTAATATACCCATGTCAAACTTTGAAAACTTTTGTTTTTGATTACATAACAAATATCTTCTACAAAACAATAAGGTGACAATAAACAATCAGACAATTTTGTATAATTAATGAGTTACACTTTGACGTCATCAAATAGCATAAAATCCATTTTTCTCTGAAATTAGAAGCCTGCATCCAGTGGCACTTTACAGAACTATTATTTTCTTCATATTGATTTTATTTTCAAAACAAACAAAAATCATTAGATTTCAAATTCTTTTTCATGGGGGCTAATGGTATCGATACCAGGTGAAGTTGCAWATCAATGCTATTATCTGTGCTATATAGCACTCTAGTTATACAAACTCTATTTACAGGTTATTTCACTTAATACCTTCATTACTTTCTCAAACAGTTCTAATGAGTGAGGTTGTCCATCTTCAGATACTGTGAGCCCTCCTGCATTGATTCCAGCACAATTGACTGATGCATTYATAAACCCATATGTCTCAATAGCTTTTGCTACAGCTAAAGTGATGTCCTTTTCAGATGAAACCTAAAAATTAATTAAGTGAAAAGTCATTGKCTTTGTTCATCATGAGCGTGGTATTCTTTCCAGCACRTGCAAATATACAGCTGCTGCTATTTGATTTCAACCTGATCAGAGGCCACTGTTTTTCGGAGGATATATATTATTGTATATGTGAAAAATGCATAGCAGATATCATCATTTTAACAACCCAGAGGACAGCCCAGAGAGTAAAATATTGTTATGCGGTTTGCCACAGGAAGCCCAAACATACAGATAAGGGCTGAAACTTCCCAGTGATTTTGAATCATAATTATTCTGAATCCCGAGTGTGAATCCAGGGAGTTATGTTARTCTGAAGAGTTATAAAAAGCATTAAAAAAACATCATGGCTTCATGGCGGTCTTATTCCACAACAAACTCAACACAATACGCTGCGAGAGAGAGGGGAGAGAGGGGGGCCCATGCAGAGAGTAGACCTACCCTTATAGACCTATAGGGATTATCAAAATAGTGTAACTTCACGCCTTTTACACAATCAATATTAACTGGTTAAGGTCTTCTCCACACCTGCCACAAATAGCTCATATCAAGGACTTACATCTGCCTTAACAAACGTACATTCTTTGCCAAACTCCGACATGATGGTTTCATCGGTTCCTTGCACATCTGRTATAACAACCTTCGCGCCATTTTGGAGAAGTCTCCTGGCTGTAGCAAGTCCAAGACCGGATAGACCTCCAGTAACAAGGCAAACGACGTCTTTGAGTAGCATTATGATGGGCAATTTTTCACGTTTACCCAGGCTTGGAAAGAGACACGTTATAAAATTCTTATGTTAGTCCACAATGACTCCCCAGGGTGGCGAGGGTATTTCTTTGGTCATCCTTACCCCACCCCCCGGAAGTATGTTTACTTTATCCACGTGAAYCTTTCAAACAAAGATGGCGAGTAGGTAGTCTTGTCAAACTTTTCTTAGTTTCTGTATATTTTTGTCCTAGTTTTGCCTTTTTTCCATTAAGAATAAAAATATTTAGCACTTTTCTTGCAATGTACGGTCCGGCCGGTTTTGAGGACTTTTCTGACGACGATGACTTGGATTTCGGCGATGGAGGCTTTCAATTCAGTTCAAATTACAAACCTCAACAGCCTTTGAAGCAATCTACACCGTCGGGAGCTGTTGCTAGTCCGAAGCAAAACGTCAACCAKTTCAATGACAGCAATACAAATAGTATGGGTAGAGGCAGAGGTGTTCTTGGTAACGGTTCAAGAGGTGGCGGGGGATTTCCACGAGCTGGCCACAACAACAATGCTGGAAGGGGACAAAGAAGGTTTGCCTTGGTTGTCTATAAATATTTAGTGATATCTTGTTTGAGCATTGTTAGAGAATGAATTGTGTCAGCTATCACTAAAAAATTGATATTATGAGTTTGAATGTAAATGGTCCATTAATTTACAGTACTGCCAATTTTATTTAGGGAAATACAAGAACCCACACTACTATTCAACTAAGAGTAGGGCAGGGTTCTACATGGTGTGGCCAAAGRTCTATACAATAATAGAGATTGGCTTGATAAACAGTACATAATTAATATGCACATATGTATTTAATTAACTGTAAAGTATTGTAATTCAAAAGGATTTTATTTTGATGTTTTTTTTGTTTTGTTTTGCTTTTCTTCCATTCAGTCCCTTTGCTAAGAAGACCCATCAAAAACCAGCCAAGCCAAAAGATCCCGGCCCTAATCCTATGATTCTTGAAGATTTAAAAGTTGCCTCAATCAAAGGKTCAAAGGAGACTGTATCAAAGCTTTTAGAACAAGGTACTAYTTAATATATGATGGCTYACCCAGACTGCAGTACAATAKTAGCGTGCCTAATGACAGTGAAGCAACATTTTTTCTGTGCTTTGTTGGCAAAAGGTGAAAATCTTTTTTTACCATAACTTGTAGA